ATGTTATGCCGGCATATCATGTCCGCGGCGCGCATGTTATACAAGCGTTGCAGTGCTCAGTGCGTCTTAAAAAAAAGGCCCGTTTACCTAGGGGCAACGGCATGGGTGGTGAGGCGCTTGCTGCAGCGCCTCACCGCCCACAACCGCTTACACTTATTTTTGTACGCGGTAGCTGGAGACCGCGCGCTTTGAAGATTAGATGCCAGTTAATAAGACGTCAGTGGAGATGGATATAACTGAATTTGAGCTCTGGGCCATTGTTCTCGGGTGTGCTGCTGTTAATATTTACATAAACACAATTTACACAATTACACTTTCAAATAATTATCAGTTGCGAATGCATCAGACTTTCAAAATTATACTAGTCTGCCAGTGGACTTGTTTGCCAGTCTGCTAGAGAAAATAATGCCACTCATCCAAAAGCAGGATGATGGAATGGAGATGGAATTCACATGCAATGGAATTCATTTGCAATGAAATTCATTTCACGATGGAATTGCAAATGCAGCGTATGAATTTTCTTACGAACCTCGTCAATGGTGACTTGTATACACAAATTTTTTGAAACTTCAACTATTTTCACCCGAGCTTGTTCTTTTGCATTTCGACCTCTATACTCCTTTGACTGAACTATCTACAGCCATCCATACTCTCTACAAAGATCAATAAGCCTCTCTGCTAGAGAGTGAGTCCAAATAAGTGTGGCGTTAGTTGCCATAGTGAAGGACCAGCGTATACAACAGACAACCTCGCTGGACCACAGACAGGCGTCCACTGTCCACTGAGTGCGGCGCTTGTGTTGCATGAGGCAGGGCGACTGTGAATCGCTAGCTCGTCAATAGCTTCGTTGTCCACAAGAAGCGCACGTAGAGGGGCGGTGAGGCGCTTGACGCCCGTGTGTTGCCCCTAGTGTGAACGGGCTTTTAGCACACATTTCGAGGCCTCTTGCAGCTCAAGTGTGATAGAGCGTACTTAAAAAGTGGACACTTCGTTGGTGTTGCGGAGATGTTACGCGGGCGTCGCATCTACGCGTCTCGGACTTGATCTACCCTAACACATTTGCGACACGCCTTATAATTTTGACATCGAATGTGGATATAACACTTATAGGAAACAGAGTACACATTCTTTGGCAAATTACAATTTTTTGAGTATACGTCTTTGCCTGTAACAAACCAAAAACTACTAGTGTTTTTATAAGGTTGAATACACTATTAATAACTGTTGATAATGCTTTTCTTCAGTCATCAAGTTCGCCGCAAATGAATGGCATCTTAATCATATTTTTTTCGACATAATTATGATAAGCACTTGCACAATCATCATTATTTAATCGGACATTTACACAAGTTTTGTAACGCCATTTTTTGAGTAACCTGTCAAACTTATACTGTATCTGCGCAGCTCAACAGTCTCTTGTCGACCAGGGTTCCGCTGTTGACTAGGGGAGTGTGCCGAGTATACTCTCTCTTATTCTTTTAGCTGCCAGCATCGGGAGTGGCCATCCGTTTTGCACCTGTTTAAATCTCGGATGAAACTGTCAGTGCTTTTCCAAGCGGACAATTATTGTCAGCCGTCAGTGTTTTCCAAGCGGACAATTTTCGTCATCCGTCAGTGTTTTCCAAGCGGACAATTTTCGTCATCCGTTAGTGTTTTCCAAGCGGACAATTTTCGTCAGCCGTCAGTGTTTGCCTGACAGAGAAATCGTGTTAATGGTCAGTGCCCGTGGTCACCTGACCCTGGAATAGTGTAAATCGTCTGTGTTTACCTAATGTAAAATACCGTAAATCGTCCACTTTTACCTAATGGAAAATACTGTAAATCGTCTGTGTTAACCTAATGGAAAATACCGAAAATTGTCTGTTTACCTAAGGTAAAATTTTGTAAATCGTATGTGCTTACTTAGTGGAAGAACATCGTATACGCCGATTGTGCTACTTAGTGTGGGATATTCTTAACCGTTTGTGTTTACCTGGGGTAGGGGCAGTTTTTTAATCCTTTCGTGTTTACCTAGTGTATGGCAATTTTAAGCCGTCTGTGTTTACTTAGAATTGGGGATTTCTTGGCCGTCTTGTGTTTACCCGAGTGTAGGATATTTCTTAGCCTGATTAAATTGTGGTTTTTAAAGAGAATATATTTTATATTTTATATATAGAGAGAGAGACGTTTCCTATCGTCTCATATCTTTTAAAGTTGGGTGAATCGGAGTGATCTACTCCACCAAATTTACGTTACGTTCAGGTTCAAGATACCGGTATTCATTACTTATCGTTTTGTCAGGTAGACTCGCAATAACGGCCCGCATTCTTAGCATTCTTAACATCTACGCATAATACATGTTCAATATTACCTATGTTCAATATTACCTACTTTATTCAAGCCTAGCGTGGCCTATTTCTTCGTGGCCTTAGCCTAGCGTGGCCTATTTCTTAGCCTATCATTCCTTCTAGTCGGTACTTTATATCTCTGCCAACCATAATTTTTAGCTCTGTACAAAGATTTCTTCTTCAACTCACACTGTTTATTAAAAAAAGTTTACAACTATTTTAGAACGGGTTTTTTCTGGGCCAACAAGGAGCAATACCGACTCAATACCGACAGACGACTTTCGATAGTCGATGTCATCGACGGCATCGATTCCCGCTATCGAAGTTCACAGGATGTAAACAAATCCAAAGCCTCTGATTGGTCAGTTGGCCAGATGGTTTTGATAGTACGCTTTTAGCTAAGTCTTACGTACGAATGTTTTGATAATGCCAAAATTAGGGTATACTTACGTAACACGTAACTTTTTTGTCGGAAGTACAAAAAGTTACGAAGTTTTGATAATACGGCCCCTGGTGCATTATTTTTCCATCGTATTCGGCGAGACCACAATGGATGTGGCGTTGCGCAAAAGAAGGCACCACAACTGCACAACTGATATTGTCCTGTTGCATTTTTACCGACAAGTGATACACGCGAAACGTCTCGTGAACTCGATTGTATAATTTCACCAGAAATAATTTTATACGATCCCCACTTATGCGTGCGATGAGCAAAGTATAAGGTTTTGACAAATTTAGTAAATAAATAATTTAAGTTCATTTAATAAATATCTTATAATTTAAACGTATTTAATAAATATATAATATATAAATTTATTTAATTTTAATAATAAATAATTTACGTATGAGGAGGATTATTCAAATGTGTATGAGATTACAGTTAAAGAAGTGCACGCTAAATTATCACATGGGTCTCCCTCTTTTAAATCGGTTCAGAGCTGCTTAAAGACACGGGGATTACGTAAGCCGGAAAACGTTTCAGTCAACGATTATAAAATAAGCATAGTCGCCAGTAGCAGGGATCCAGCTCGGTGCCCTGAGCAGGCAACCGCTGAGTGGGCAGGCATGTACAAAACTTTAGCGCGACCTCCTCTTTCAGTGGAAGGAAAATTCAATTACTGTACCACAACAATCAAGGATGGAAAGAAACTTCTCAGAGTAAAATATTTATTAATTCTGAACTGTGTTGATGGGAACACAAAAATAATCTTGCGAAGAGTGAATTGGACCGAGCTGCTGCCCGGTGTAAGTCCTCAGAAAATCGGGGACAAGAGTTTCACCTGGCCAGCGCAAGCCAGCCATGCAGGTATAGCACAGAGAAACTGACCCGCTAAGTTCCATGCTGCCCATCCTGTCAAAACAAATGCCAACTATACTATGAATGAAAAGAAACCAATGTATGTAATAGGAAATTGGAGCACGCTGAATATTAAGGTCCAGATATTGTAAAATGCTTAAATTCATGGCCCCAGCAGCCATGCGCTTAAAATTGCATAGTCATCTTAAAATTAAGAGGCTGTAAATAAATCGGTATCTAATAAATATACAGTCAGCATGAAAACAAGGATGGTTTTATTATTTGGGTTGAGAGTAGTGAAGGGAAGACGGTTACCCATAATGGAAACCGGCCGGAGCTACAAGTCACCACAACACCCTACGCTTTAGTGATGGACAACCAACCTGCAGCATCCGGTCCTCTCCTGAACTCTCGCAGAGACCCGTCCTCAGTGAGAAGACGAGCTGATGCCGAAGTCCCAGGTCATCCCAACACCTCGAGGCCGCCGCCTCAGACGAGACGCACGCTAGAGGTCTCACTCCATAGTGACGATGAAGCGGACGAAAATAGTAGAGATGTGGCGTTGTTGGCAGTCGTACGAAAGCTGACTGGTGGGCTGTTTCCGAATCTGACTAGAGGTTAGAGCTTCTATCTTCAAATGTGCATTTGAAGGTATGTGGAAGGTCGGCCAAATAAAATCACAAATAACCCAAGCCCAAATAATAGTCTTCTAACTGGAATTATCTTAGGAGAGATAATAATTTTATACAAGGCAACCTCTCAGTGGTGCGCAGGCAACACATCAGTGGTGCGCAGGCAACACATCAGTGGTGCGCAGGCAACACATCAGTGGTAAGCAGGCGACACATCAGTGGTAAGCAGGCGACACATCAGTGGTACGCAGGCGACACATCAGTGGTACGCAGGCAACACAGCAGTGGTGCGTAGGAAGCACATCAGTGGTGCGTAGGAAGCACATCAGTGGTGCACAGGCNGAATGTAAAGGCAAGGGCTAGAAAGATACACGGTTTATAGTTTTGTTTTCTTGTATTTAACGCTCTTTAGTTGTTATTGTTCTTAACTTATCAGTGTTTATTCATCCTTTTTATTTGCGATCATTGGCCAAGTGTTCGGGGTCAGAGAATGCTTATTTATTTATTGACTAGTCCCCAACATAATGGTGCCGTGCCAGCCGGAATCGTACCTGGGTAAATGTTTTGAAAATTAAAGTAACGTAGAGTAAAGTAACAGAAAGTAACGTAAAGTAAATTAAAGTAAATTTGCATCGTGTGTTTCGGAGCCTTGTCTCGTGTGGTGGATCCCTGAACGCGACTGACAGTCTCTGAACTCGACCAATTTGTTTCGATTGTTGCCCGCACGAAGGAACCGCTTCCGAAATGTCTAATGTCCATCATGAGGACTGTGCCTTGTCCAGCCACGCCGACGGGTCTTCTTTCTTCGTGGAAAATCTGGTGTATTTCTCCCGTTTATTTTCAAGACTTCAGATCATGGAGCAGTCTTTGTCAAGTGAGATTCAACATGTGCTGACTCAATTCAAAAGGACATGGGCGCCGTATTTCCTGGGGAACATCGAACTAACTCGGAAGGAATACAGTAATTGCGGGCGGTGCAAGGTAAACCGCGACACCGCAACAAAGTACGCGCCTTCAAAGTCAACGAGTCCCACTGGTTTCGGCAGCACGATAATTCTCGCCTTCGACCCCATTGTTCGAAAGCCCAGGCCAAGTCAAAAGACCGTCTTGGAAGGGAAGATGGCGAACGTGCAGTTCGCGATGGCCGGTGCTCCAATTCTGATAAAGATGTTTGTGAATATTGTCAACGTGCCCGTCACGCAAGTCGTGAATGTCGTACGTACCCGGTTGAAGCAGTGTTGCATTTGTGGCTCAGGTTTGCATTTGCTTCGGAAATGCCCGCGTTACAGACGTGCTCGTGTTAGCAAGTTGGCCGATCGAAGAACGTCACAGTCAGAATATTCTTGTAAGTTTCTGGAATCCTTAGATCGTTCAGCTGTGAACTCGACAGTTTACATAAATAGAGGTGATTTGATTACCAAAGGCGTGTCAGCGAGTAATGTCGAGGGTTTTTCGCCCGTAGGAAGTGATGATGGATGCGCCGATGTGGTATATGGTGTGAATGGCTGTAACAGTAAATATAGTCTTAAAGTTACTTTGCAAGACGTCGTTAAAGAAGCCTCTCTATAGAGCACAGCCACAATCCGCGACTGAAAGAAATTCGTTAGACTGAACTTTTGAGTCTGAGGAGGAAGAAACACTTGATGAGAAGAGACTCGAAACCGTAGAGCATAAAGTTTCGACATCAATAGGCCAGAATTTCATGAGGGCAGGTAAACGTATCAGTCTCAAAGGCTTTGGTAGATGAGGCTGAAAGTTTGACTAACAATATTGATAGTCGCTCACGAGAAAATTTCGCTCTCTGGTTAGAGCAGGAGACGTCTGCTCTAGAAGACTTGTTAAGTTGTTGAGCCGAGCAGTGACTCTATCGGGGAGTTCTAACTACAGCTTTTCAGAAAATGTCAGATTTACTTGAAATGGTGGTGATTAGGGTGATACGGTACATGAAATTATGAGGAAGAATTCGCTGAAGGCTGTGACTGATCATCTGAAGTATGTGCGGGAAAGTATTAGAGATTATTAAGACGGCATGTCAAAACCCTGGTTCGGAAAATATGAAAGTAAAATTGTTCAAGGAGCCTAAGCTGTATCGAAGCAGAAATTTTACCTGGCGTTAGACATTGGTGCTAAATGTCTGGATTCCAGAGTTTCGTATTGTTCGCGCAATGTCCACATTTTGAAATTTTTTACAGATCGCGCTATTTCGTGTGTATATCCTAAGTGTTTCCTATTGATCGCGTTATTTATAAATTGGTCTTGTTCAGTTGTAAATTAAATGCAAATAAGAACTCTGTACAAATTTTAAGCAAGTTAGCGTATGTATTTTTGTGTAATAAAGTTGTATAGAAAAGAAATATTGATCTGTTTCGGGTTAGATTAGATTAATGCTTCAACCTTGATCGCCCGTACATGTTCACGTACTATAGGATTGTTAAGTGTAATAATAGAAATTTTGCACTTGGTGGGGGGTGATGTTAGGGACCGCCTTTTAATATGATAATTTCAACGATAGTTAGGTTATTGGTTCTGTCATTTTGTTTTAGAGTGAACTATTACGTGACCTCGTGTAGACCCGCCCTGTAGCTTGTCATTGCTCTGTGATCCACCACAGAGGTTAGTACTTGCATTGTATATCGTGTTAATCTTCCGTGTTGATATAGTGGTGGCCTTACTGGTGATATTGAATATTATTTATATTAGTTTATTATTTATGTGTGCTATATTCATTTGTTAAGTGGTGGCCTTACTGGTGATATTGAATATTGTTATTCATATTAGTTTATTATTTATGTGTGCTATATTCATTTGTTAAGGTTTAATTAAAGTCCTTAATTTGTATTTATTTGTTTTTTTTTCAGCGGGGCTCCAAAGCTTGGGCACGAATACGAGTTAGTAGACAATGGCTTGAAAGACATACGGTTTATAGTTTTATATTTTGTTTTATTGAATTTATCGTTCATTTATTATTATAGCTATTTATCGTTTTTATTCATCCTTTAAATACGCTCACTGGTCAAATGTTTGGGGTCAAAGAAAACCTATTTATTGATTAGTCCCCAACAACGTCACCACCCTTCGATTGCAGTTTCTCGATGCTCGTGTGATGTCATGCACATTTGCCAGCAGTTCTTTGTTGTTGTGGACTTAACTGAATATTTTTTTGGCGTTTGTGTTTCTTTTTAAATGGAAAAGAAACATTTCAGAGTGAAAATAGTGGCATTGTTATCAAGTGAGTTGATGCCAATGCGGTCTAAAAAGCAGCGTAAAAATGAAATATTTTCGCTTTCGTCGCGTATTCTTCACTTATGCTCCTCCGGGACCCGGGAAAGCGAGTGTCGTTGGGGAGAAATGTTGCCAGACGAGACCGCGGTTGTTGGCTGAGCGAGCGTCGACTGGAATTTTTATCAAAAACTTTTCTTTTTTTAATTGATTTTTACACCGACTTATAGTTTATGCGAGTCCAAAGGAATGAATATAGCGATCAAAGGAATTGTTACACACACACACACAAATTTTTGAAGTGCCTCTATATTCGACCTTTCATTTTACACGATTAATTTAAATTGCCATGAAGTTTAAAGAATTCATTAAAGTTGCTGCATCAAGAAATTTTTCCCTTCAGAAAATAAGCATATATATACAAATGAAGCTTATCCCCAAACGACATGTTCGAAATTAGCGGGTCGGTATAGAACGTAAATTGTATTATAAAAATCGAAATAGCTGCTGTTCGAGAGAGATACATAGATCCTGACGTAAGAATTTCTGATCACTTCTAAGAAAATTAAATTTTTCTAATTGAAATAATTTCACAGAAACTTTGATATATTGAAGCAATTACGAAAAGTTTCAAAATGTGGTTAAAATAATGGACCACGAGTAAGAGAAAATGGTCTACGGAAATAACTCTAGAAGATACGAAAATTATTTTACTTAGCCGACTTCGCAGGTGACCTTGGAATTTCGTGTGCGAAGAGAGGCAGCCAATGAATCTCACTCCCCCATAATCTGCTGGAAATCTATTAAACTTTCTTGGATATAATTTCAAAATCTTTAACCGTAAAGGCGCCGTATATGAATCGATGTCGATACAGTTAATTGAAGTTTACTAGCTATGGTGTTGTCCGTTATCTCCTGTTGATGACGTGTTACAGTGAAGCGCATGCATAAGGCAAAACTATTGTTATCTTTGCAGTCACGATAGCTTGCAAAGTTGAGAGGAATGACGTAATTCTGGGGTATGCAATTATGATGGTTTGGGGCCGGACGCGTCATAAAACTGGCAATAAATTTCGTTGTAAGATAATATGTGAAATATTGTGTGAGAACTAAGACAATTTCTACATCAAACTCATGACAGAATACATCAAACTCAAGACAGAATACATCAAACTCAAGACAGAATACATCAATCTCAAGACAGAATACATCAAACTCATGACAAAATGCATCAAACTCATGACAGAATACATCAAACTCATGACAGAATATATCAAACTCATGACAGAATATATCAAAATCATGACAGAACACATCAAACTCATGATATAATACAACAAACTTTAGGTATACGCTGATAAAGAATCTTTTTACCGGAAGAGTTTTTTCTAATTTTAGGCAAAGTTAAATTCGAGCAAAATGCTGATTTCAATATGTATTTTTCAATTATTTGAATGTTTATAAGCTGTACAAACATGCTAAATTAGGATTAAAAATGTATATGTGTATATTTGTTCAATCTCCGCAGTGTCTGCTCAGAGTTCAAGATCAGCAGAACATTTTCATTTTCATGGTAAAAGAGGTTTCAGTTGCCCTTGCAGTATAAGTCTTTGATTGTTTAGGTCAATATAATTAACTCATTTTTTTTCTTACAGGCACTATTGGAAAAGACATTGAAAGTCAACGCCGTTTACTTGTACCAGACAACGCAAAAAAAGAGGCCGAACTGGAAGGAAGTTTTTAAGATCATTGAGAAGGACGACGCAAACAAGCTTCGGCAGCAGGTGAAGCACGAGATGCTGGAGCTGGTGGCACTGCCACAAGAGTCAAAGGACCACAAGCCGGCGTTCCATGCTGCTCTTGAGAGTACCGCCTCGGAGTGCCTGGAGGTCTGGCTGGAAGCACGCTCCGGCCTGGGTGTCCTAGATTCGCCAGACAACGACGGAAACACGCCTCTACATGCAGCGGTGGAGGGTCTTAATTGTGATGTCATCACTAAACTTATTAAGGCAGGAGCAAATGTGAACCTACACAATAAACAGGGTCATTCCCCCCTTCACCTGCTGCTTTATGTGGCTGTCGAGGCCAAGAACTTTGATACACGCGCGTTTGCCGATTGTCTGGAGGTCCTGCTGGACGCCTGCCGAGGCCTGGACGTCCTAGACTCGCCAGACAACGACGGCAACACGCCTCTACATGCAGCAGTGAAGGGTCTTAATTGTGATCCCATCATTAAGCTTATTAACGCAGGAGCTAATGTCAACCTACGCAATGATAAGGGAAATTCACCCCTCCACCTGCTGGCTTATGCGGCGGCCACAGCTGCGAGTGGAGGCGAATCAGACAGTGCGGAGGCCTCTGCTGCGAGTGGAGGGGAATCGAGCAGTGCGGAGGCCACTGCTGCGAGTGGAGGGGAATCAAGCAGTGCGGAGGCCACTGCTGCGAGTGGAGGGGAATCGAGCAGTGCGGAGGCCACTGCTGCGAGTGGAGGGGAATCGAGCAGTGCAGAGGCCACTGCTGCGAGTGGAGGGGAATCAGACAGTGCGGAGGCCACTGCTGCGAGTGGAGGCGAATCAGACAGTGCGGAGGCCACTGCTGTGAGTGGAAGGGAATCGAGCAGTGCGGAGGCCACTGCTGCTAGTGGAGGGGAATCAAGCAGTGCGGAGGCCACTGCTGCGAGTGGAGGGGAATCGAGCAGTGCGGAGGCCACTGCTGCGAGTGGAGGGGAGGCCACTGCTGCTGCATTTATTGAGAACTTCGATAAATGCGTTGATGCTTTGCTCGAATGTCCAAGTTTGGACTTGGACGCTTTGAATTACAGCAAGTTCACTCCCCTGCGAGCCGCAGCAGAGCAAATGCCCAGTAAGACGGGTTCTTTGAAAACGTTTTGCCAGAAGTTGGTGCAGAAAGGAGCAAATATCGACGAACACACACGATCAATTTTAGTTGAGCATAGCCTTCCGAACAGTCCGGATGAGGCCACAACTTTGCCACAGCCTCAAACCGCGACTGCAGAACTACTCAATCTACTTATATGCAACCAATCTGAAGGAATTGCTGACATGTTTAGTGGGGTGTGTGGCTCGCAGGAAGTTCGTGCGGCGGCCAATTGCTACCTCGGGTCGAAGAAAGTCATATGCTACCTTGTTGACCGCTGCAGCGAGACGGGGGTGATGGCTCTACTTCAGGCCGGGGCCGACCCTTGGTCCAGCAACAGGAACGGCGAGCTTGCCCTCCACAGGGCACTGGCTCGTGGGCACGTGGCTATCGTGAACCTCCTCATAAATGAGATGAAAGAGAAGAAGAATAGTAATCGCATTGACCTGCGGCACAAAAGTTTTACTCTACTGCAAAAATTATTGAAAAATAACAAAGATGCTGATAAAACTGCCACGAAATCCTATGATCCAAATAAATATGAATGCCTGAACCGCTTGTTTGAAGACGACGTTTTAATAGATGTTAATCAAAAGGAAGAAGGGACTGACATGAAACAAACGGCTCTCCACATAGCCTGTAAAATGAACAACCAGGATGCCATGGCGATTCTTCTTGAACATGGAGCGTATCTGGGGGAGCATCAAATGATCGGCGAGCAAGACAATGGAACGGTTCTTAATGCTTTAATGGCCAAAACACTCGAGAAAACCATGGATAATTGCATCAAGGTTCCTTCCCAAACCATTGAAAAAAATGATACATTGGATCCCGAGCGGAAGGATAGGATTCTTGAAGAAGATGCATTGGATCTCAATTACATTCTCGAGCTGAACTACCAGTTCCTGATGAGCCCCACCCCCAGAGAGCCCACTAAAGTTCAACAGCTCGAGAACGAAGTTTCGCTGCTATACGACATCAGTCAAAGCCACGAACTTCGCAACTCCATTAAACATCCACTCATTCAAACTCTTATTTACGCCAAATGGGGGAAGGTATTCCCATTGTTCCATCTGCATTTTCTTACCTATTCTCTTTTCTTATGTTTCTTCATAGGATTTATATTAATCATTTCTGAAGTGGGCAGGCTAATCTTACGTTCGCTTGAAAACTTGGCTTCGTCAAGCAACTCCACAGAAACCCAGCTTATGAAGGAAGAAATTCTGCAGTACCAAAGTGTCGCCAAGCTTCTTGTCCTCATAATCACAGTCTTCATGATGGTTAAGGGGGTTTTCCAGATCGCGTTCACGAGTAAAAGTTACATTCGGTGTATCGAGAACTACTTGGAATGGTTCTTGATCATCGCATTGCTGGTGTTCTGCTTTGCACCGCTTTCGGCGTCCGCTGCTCAACACCTCAAGGCCTGGGTGTGCATCGCCTTTTGGTGAGCTTCATTAATTCGATTCGACCAAAAATGTAGATGCAAAGAAACGCTAAGGAAGTTCACCATGTCCCTTACGAAGACATTTCCGAGACCAGCTCCATCATTGGTTGAATCAACAGTATAGAATCGAAATGGAATAAAATAAATAAGGACAATAAGAATAGAAAATCCAAAAATGCGCGGAAAAGATGAAACCCCAAACACGATAAGAGAACATTAAAATTCTGTACATAAAACCTAAACTCTTTGTACTGATGATGGAGCTGGTCTCTGAAACATATACATGGAACATATGGTGATATTCCTTTTCGTTTTTTCTTCTTTCAAATTCTTGGTAACTTGCGATTAAAGCAAATTAATGCTATAATTCATATTACTTATCTTCAGTTTTGAATTAAAGTTGCTGGTCATAATTTTATCCAAGTAAATATATAGGTAAGCATTCTAAGCTGACAAATGTATATAAGAAACAACTGAAAATGCTAATGGCAGGGTTACTTATTGCATAAATTCACGGCTATCTATGAGACAGGGAAGGGTCTCACGATCAACTATTTGAGTCTTTACTTATTACGATTATAGGGAATAGTATAAATTTATTCATATTTATTAGCAACAATTATTCTATCTTCATTTAGACTTCACCGTTCCGCAGTTTAGGTTTTGTATGCTTTCATGATCTTATATTGTTTTAGTTACGGGCCGGTAAGGACTACAGGAGCACAAAGCAATTGTACAGACGTGTTTTACTAAACATAGTACAAATGCTTATGCGTATCTGTACCTATATGAAAGTGAGTTATACGAGTGACAGAGGTCGTCGCCCAGCAACTAATAACAATTTTTCTCTGTATAAAAATACTAGCGTAGTAGAATTCGTATCTAGAGGCGATGACGAAAGTTACCGCCCGCAGACGAAGAGTTAACGTTTTGTCCACGTATCGATTAACGGCAGTCTCTGCTACTCGTACATAATGAGTGTTAAAGTCGGAGATCAGAGGGTGAAGCGTGGGTAACAGGGCCTATACTTTCAAAAAAAGTTAAGAGATCGTAAGACGGCCTTTCAAGCAAAATCTACCAACATAGAAAATAGTGCGTAAGTACTTACGTTCACTTAGCGAATTTTGAAAGTATGGCCCCAGGTACGTTAGTCGTTCGATTAAGAGGTATTAAGCATAGGTAACAGGTTATTAGTCCGATCAACAGGTATTAAACGTGGGTAACAGGTTAGTAGTGCGATCAACTGGTTCCAAGCCAGGGGCCGGATTATCAAAACATGCTAAGTATACGTAGCCGCTAACGTTTAGCGTAAGTACAGCTAAGTAGACGTGACTCTACTGAGTGTTATTATCGAAACATTCGCGCGGAAAGCTACGTACAAAAATTTGTGCATAACTGTACGCCTGCTCGGAGGTGTCGTAAGCGGAGTTACGTACAAATTTTGAGTGTTGAAGCAATATGAGACTATTAATTTACTAGCAGCAAGTTGAATTGTAATAGAATTTATACCTTTTCAGATGAGTCATGCGTAAGACAGTTTTGTTAATGCCAAATTTTGACTGACTTACGCCATACGTAACTTTTTGAACGTAAGTACGAAAGGTTACGTGAACTTAGCGAAGTTTCGTTAATCTCTGCCCTGGGTAACAAGTAAATCATTCGATCAGCAGATATAAATTTAGTAAACCGATATCAAGTCCATGTATCCGATAGCGACTTTAGAAATTCTGCTTCTACAACCGGTCTCCCTGACTTACGAACTTTTGATAGGCATATCTGCATGCGGTTACTTTAAATTGATTTGTCGTTAATTGTGAATTTCTGTTTTGATCTCAGCATTTTGTACCATTGTTTACTGATTGATTGTATTTGCATTTTAGGAGTGTCAAACTGATGATCGAGCTTGACACCGAAATGTTCTATTCTCCAGTAAAAAAGTCACTATATTGCTTTAATCGCAGATTCACTAGAAATTTAAAAGCGAAGAAAACACCACAAAAATTTAGCATATCTCTTTTGAAAACGTTTCGGAGACCAGCTACTTATCGAACCCGGTGGAAGTCTAGTAGCTACTTCAAACTATCGCCAGTCATGAAAAGATCCGGTCAAATGACACGAGTTTAGATCTATGAACAAGGCACGAAAAGGAAAAGAATCGGCGACAGGCCACATCAGGCCTACACTTCAGCGCCGACATCACTATGTTATGTTATGTTATTGCATTTTTAGATCTCATCAAATAACCGAAAATTTCGTCATAATTATCACAAGTATAAGCAGGAGGTTCAATACTTCTGTAATGTTGATTGTCAAATACATGCTTCTTTAACCAATTATTCAGCTCCATCGGTGTTTGAAATCTGCATCTCTTCACTACATTGAAAACTTGTCTAACAAAAACACGAAGATTTTTTGGGATGTGTATTCTATCTTCCTCGATCATATTTTTCACTGTTTGATATGATTGAGGGTCTCTTAACGCCTCATCGATCATTCCAACAACTTGAATCAGTTCAGACCGTGCATTTTTCAGCACATTTTCTTCCACAGAAATTATGTCCACCATCACTTTTTCCTCGAATTTTCACAAAAATGTACTGTAACTTCTGTGTATTAGAATGGTGATCTGATGTAGTCGTTGTCCGAGGTGGTAATGTCTCACAATGAGCATGAGCACCTCTCTATAAAGTGTTACTCGCGTGATGTTTAATAGACAACACCCATTCCCTGTGACCGATTTAGCGTGCTTTGTGAGGGGCTCGGGAAATGACTCGTGGGAAGGGGCGTTTGCTCTATATAAAAAAATTAATTGAGCTGGTGATATACCCTGGCAGTATATTGTATCAGCATTCAGGATTACACTGTAAGAAAGTATATATTCCACAGAAGTATTTTTCAGGTAGCCGCTCTAGGTTATTCTCAGTTAAAGAATGCTCAATCGGGGTAAATGATCGGTACCCTGTTAAGCTGTTTATGCAGATTCGGGGGTAATTGTTCGTAATAATATTGAAGGAGGTTTTATTCAGGGGTAATTGGTTAACTTTGTTGGGCAAGATTCGGGGTAAATGATTGTGGTAACCTATGATTTAAGCTGTTTATGGAAAGTGTGACGATACACCCCTTTTGCTATCTACTCGTATGATTTAATTTTTTGATGTAATTTGTACGCAGTACTCAAAACGAATATTTTTTGCTCAACTTCTGCCCTCGATCAGACAGATAAGTGAGACCTCATCCTGATAACGATGCAATTGTCGCTCATGTGTAGGTCATCTGGTCCAGTTTGGGCAGACAAAAGCGCGTATCAGTGCTACGTCCAAGTTCTGCTTGTGGTGAGGGAGATAAATTGTGACACTATCTGGACAACATGCTTGACTTATTTTTCTGCGTGTGGAGCGTAGAAAACTTGATTTGTTGCCTACATTTTTTAAATAATTACTGAACTATCCGGCGCTAACAATTATTAGCTAAGCATGAACTCCTTGGTATAAAAATGGTTATTTTTATCTAAGTATGCACTAGTGATAGACAAGAACCGGTAAGCACGTAGGTCATCAAGTTTGCGAATGGGTATTCAATCTCTTAATAACTATATTAAAGTAATGAAGAAGGATAAAAACATTCGTCCCTCACTAATGTTCGTCCAACAGAACAAGAACTTCGCGAACTTGTCCATCCAACAGAACGAGAACTTCGCGAACTTGTCCGTCCAACAGAACGAGAACTTCGCGAACTTGTCCGTATGTGTGTGTTTTTTTTATTAACTCCAAACTAATTTTCTGCATTTATCTGTGTTCTAGATTTATCGAACTGACGATGGAGCTGGTCTCCGAAACGTTTTGAAAAGAGATATGCTAAATTTTTGTGGTGTTTTCTTCGCTTTTAAATTTATAGCTCTATTCTCCAAGATATTTTAAAATTTTATAAAATTTTTTATTTCTATTATATTACAGGTATAATTGGCTGCTAATGTTGGGCCGCCTGCCGCCGTACGACGTCTACGTCGCAATCCTGCGCCTCGTGTCCTGGAACTTTCTGAAGCTCATCTTGATCTTCATAATCCCCATCATCGCGTTCAGTTCTGGCTAAATCTTCATCCTGCAGCCTTACGATGATGCACAGGTAAGCCATGCAGCTTTCCGATCAGAAAAATCAACATATGATTCAAATTTTCGAATATATATCACTTGTTTGCTTAAATCGTAAATTAACTAAGAATTTAAAAGCAAAGAAAAGTCCACAAAAATTCATATCTTTATAGAAAACGTTTCGGAGACCAGCTCCATCGTCAGTTCGTAAACTAGATGTGTATAAGAGACAGGTCTTACTGCATATGAGGTATGAAGTGTGATATCACTCAAATAAATCACTTTATAAATTTAATTTTGAACTATGTTTCAAGCCGCAATGAACTAACGTATTTCTTGAGTATCGAATGTTGGGATTTAAGTTCTCTTCATACCAATAAACTGCAGATGAATTTCACCCATAAAATTAGAACATAGAACTTAACACGTCATAGAATTTCAACTATCATGTAAATTTTATGTTCGGAGTGAGC